GTGTCCAGGAGTAGAAACAATAAAATGAAGGTGATTTCGAGGGAACTGTGGAAAAACAAGGACGAGATTAGTAGACATAGCCCTCATGAATAAATAACCGTAGACACGTGTTTCGGGCTTTCGGCCCTCATCAGTACTGTGAAAAAGTGTGCAACAGGCAGGCAACACTTGGTGGAAAAAGAAACAACAAATAAGCGGAGTCAACAAACAGAAGCCAGCCGCACATTTGTGGTTTCGGTTAGCAGACCCTGAGGTCTCAGGGAAACTGCTAACGTCACCACGGAGGCAGCTATAGCTACCTGCGTGACATCCGTGTCCAGGAGTAGAAACAATAAAATGAAGGTGATATCGAGGGAACTGTGAAAAAACAAGGACGAGATTAGTAGACATAGCCCTCATGAATAAATAACCGTAGACACGTGTTTCGGGCTTTCGGCCCTCATCAGTACGGTGAAAAAGTGTGCAACAGGCAGGCAACACTTGGTGGAAAGAGAAACAACAAATCAGCGGAGTCAACAAACAGAAGCCAGCCGCACATTTGTGGTTTCGGTAAGCAGACCCTGAGGTCTCAGGGAAACTGCTAACGTCACCACGGAGGCAGCTATAGCTACCTGCAGGACATCCGTGTCCAGGAGGAAAAACAATAAAATGAAGGTGATATCGAGGGAACTGTGAAAAAACAAGGAAGAGATTAGTAGACATAGCCCTCATGAATAAATAACCGTAGACACGTGTTTCGGGCTTTCGGCCCTCATCAGTACGGTGAAAAAGTGTGCAACAGGCAGGCAACACTTGGTGGAAAAAGAAACAACAAATCAGCGGAGTCAACAAACAGAAGCCAGCCGCACATTTGTGGTTTCGGTTAGCAGACCCTGAGGTCTCAGGGAAACTGCTAACGTCACCAAGGAGGCAGCTATAGCTACCTGCGTGACATCCGTGTCCAGGAGTAGAAACAATAAAATGAAGGTGATATCGAGGGAACTGTGGAAAAACAAGGACGAGATTAGTAGACATAGCCCTCATGAATAAATAACCGTAGACACGTGTTTCGGGCTTTCGGCCCTCATCAGTACTGTGAAAAAGTGTGCAACAGGCAGGCAACACTTGGTGGAAAAAGAAACAACAAATAAGCGGAGTCAACAAACAGAAGCCAGCCGCACATTTGTGGTTTCGGTTAGCAGACCCTGAGGTCTCAGGGAAACTGCTAACGTCACCACGGAGGCAGCTATAGCTACCTGCGTGACATCCGTGTCCAGGAGTAGAAACAATAAAATGAAGGTGATATCGAGGGAACTGTGAAAAAACAAGGACGAGATTAGTAGACATAGCCCTCATGAATAAATAACCGTAGACACGTGTTTCGGGCTTTCGGCCCTCATCAGTACGGTGAAAAAGTGTGCAACAGGCAGGCAACACTTGGTGGAAAGAGAAACAACAAATCAGCGGAGTCAACAAACAGAAGCCAGCCGCACATTTGTGGTTTCGGTAAGCAGACCCTGAGGTCTCAGGGAAACTGCTAACGTCACCACGGAGGCAGCTATAGCTACCTGCAGGACATCCGTGTCCAGGAGTAAAAACAATAAAATGAAGGTGATATCGAGGGAACTGTGAAAAAACAAGGAAGAGATTAGTAGACATAGCCCTCATGAATAATTAACCGTAGACACGTGTTTCGGGCTTTCGGCCCTCATCAGTACGGTGAAAAAGTGTGCAACAGGCAGTCAACACTTGGTGGAAATAGAAACAACTGTTTGTTGACTCCGCTGATTTGTTGTTTCTTTTTCCAGCAAGTGTTGCCTGCCTGTTGCACATTTATTCACCGTACTGATGAGGGCCGAAAGCCCGAAACACGTGTCTACGGTTATTTATTCATGAGGGCTATGCCTACTAATATCTTCCTTGTTTCTTCACAGTTCCCTCGATATCACCTTCATTTTATTGTTTTTACTCCTGGACACGGATGTCACGCAGGAAGCTATAGCTGCCTCCGTGGTGACGTTAGCAGTTTCCCTGAGACCTCAGGGTCTGCTAACCGAAACCACAAATGTGCGGCTGGCTTCTGTTTGTTGACTCCGCTGATTTGTTGTTTCTTTTTCCACCAAGTGTTGCCTGCCTGTTGCACACTTTTTCACCGTACTGATGAGGGCCGAAAGCCTGAAACACGTGTCTACGGTTATTTATTCATGAGGGCTATGTCTACTAATATCTTCCTTGTTTTTTCACAGTCCCCTCGATATCACCTTCATTTCATTGTTTTCACTCCTGGACACGGATGTCACGCAGGTAGCTATAGCTGCCTCCGTGGTGACGTTAGCAGTTTCCCTGAGACCTCAGGGTGTGCTGACCGAAACCACAAATGTGCGGCTGGCTTCTGTTTGTTGACTCCGCTGATTTGTTGTTTCTTTTTCCACCAAGTGTTGCCTGCCTGTTGCACACTTTTTCACCGTACTGATGAGGGCCGAAAGCCCGAAACACGTGTCTACGGTTATTTATTCATGAGGGTTATGTCTACTAATCTCTTCCTTGTTTTTTCACAGTTCCCTCGATATCACCTTCATTTTATTGTTTTTACTCCTGGACACGGATGTCACGCAGGTAGCTATAGCTGCCTCCGTGGTGACGTTAGCAGTTTCCCTGAGACCTCAGGGTCTGCTAACCGGAACCACAAATGTGCGACTGGCTTCTGTTTGTTGACTCCGCTGATTTGTTGTTTCTTTTTCCACCAAGTGTTGCCTGCCTGTTGCACACTTTTCCACCGTACTGATGAGGGTCGAAAGCCCGAAACACGTGTCTACGGTTATTTATTCATGAGGGCTATGTCTACTAATCTCTTCCTTGTTTTTTCACAGTTCCCCCGATATCACCTTCATTTTATTGTTTTTACTCCTGGTTACGGATGTCACGCAGGTAGCTATAGCTGCCTCCGTGGTGACGTTAGCAGTTTCCCTGAGACCTCAGGGTCTGCTTTCCGAAACCACGAATGTGCGGCTGGCTTCTGTTTGTTGACTCCGCTGATTTGTTGTTTCTCTTTCCACTAAGTGTTGCCTCCCTGTTGCACACTTTTTCACCGTACTGATGAGGGCCGAAAGCCCGAAACACGTGTCTACGGTTATTTATTCATGAGGGCTATGT